AAAAAAGGTGATAAAAGTCTGCCTTCAAACTATAAACCAATTTCACAACTAAGTAGCTTTGCAAAACTATTTGAAAAAATTATAAAAGTTAGGCTTGAATCATTTTTAATTAGCGAAAAAATTTTGTCACCCAACCAGTTTGGTTTTCAGACGGGAAAATCAACAGAAGATGCTATATCTGCATTAATATCAAAAATGTATGATGCTGTTGAACATACGAAACCGGCAATTGGAGTATTCTTGTATCTTGCAAAGGCGTTCGATACTGTAGATCACAATCAGTTATTGGATGCATTTGAGGATTCAGGAATACGTGGAACAGCTCTAAAAATGTTTAAATCTTATCTTCAAAATCGTACACAACATGTAAAAATAGATGATTGCATAAGCTCAGCGCAAGTTGTGAAATGTGGAGTTCCGCAAGGGACAGTGCTAGGGCCGATTCTTGTTATCCTATATTTGAATAACTTACTTACCTTAAGCGTTACTGGAACCATATACAGTTTTGCCGATGATACGGTACTATTTTACACTGCTGAGACTTGGTCTGATCTGAAACAGAAAATAGAAGACGATATGAAAACTATTATTGATTGGTTTAATTTTCATCTTTTAACAATTAATTATGAGAAAACGATGTTTCTACCTGTTTGAAGTTACAAAAATGGAATGCCTACCTACAATGAATTAAAATATATAATGAACATACCAAAAAAAACCATAAAAATTAAACTTACTAAAGATATAAAATACCTTGGTATAACGATAGATTGTCACTTACGATGGGATTACCATATAAATAACGTCACTAAAACATTAAGATCCTTTCTGGGACGATTTAAATATTTGTCGAATGTTCTAGATTTACCATATTTAAAAATGTTATACTATTCACTTGTAGCATCTAGATTATCATATGGAATTTTGGCTTGGGGCGGAACTGTAGATGTATACCTAGAAAAATTACAAACGCTTCAGAAATATTTTTTAAAAATATTAGGAAAAGAAAAAACTTATCCTTCTGACCAGCTTTTTCGAGATGCATTAGTGTTGGATATTCGTCAGACATTTTTTCTTAAAACTCTAATTTTTTTATTTAAACACAAACAAAATTTTAATGAAATATCTCATCTCTATACTACCAGAGCTAAGAAAAATAATTATCTTCAAGTTCCAACTACACAAAAAACAATTGGCCAAAGAAACTTTTAAGTTTTTAGCACCCCGTTTTTATAATTTTTTACCAGAACATTGTAAAAATTCGTACACGTCAAACCATTTTAAGAAATCAGTTAAGTTTTTTCTAACATCTAATAATAGACAATTAATTTTCCACTTTTTTCAATTTGTTAACTAATATGTTATTTTCCTATTGTATTATTTCCCTATTATGTTATTTTACTATTATGTTATTTTACTATTATGTTATTTTACATTATTGATCAAATTGTTGATTTCATATTTATTATTTATATTATTGTATTCTATTATATAGCAAATAAGTTGCAAAAATAATATTACTGTTAATTTGTGTGATAAATATAAGTTTTAAAGTATCTTGAATCATAAATAATATTAAGACAATACACTGTAATAATTACTACGTTCTAACTTATACCACGGACAGCCCTCCGGCTTTGTGGTACACCAGTTTATTGGTAGGTGATTGTTCTGTAAAGAAACAAAAAAAAAATATATAAATTTAAAATTTATTGTAAAAATTACTGTTCTTACTAATAAACATTATTATTATTATATGAAAAGAAGAGGACATTTGCCGTAAAAAGGACATTTTAAGCTTTAAAAAGTCACAAGGATATTTTGCTTCGAAACTGGACTGTCCTGTTCAAGAAAGGACAGGTGGCAACCCTAGTTTTGGATGTAAATGCGTTGGAATTAGAAAAAGAAAAAAAAACAAAACACAATATGTTCTATTACTTTTATTTAAGACTAGCAAAGACTAGTATTTGAGAATATTGCCGTAATATAAAATTTCTATAAACATTCTTTACATTGATTTAACTTTACTTTCACGCAATTTTACATCGTTTTCTATTAGAAAAAAATAACGTCCGATTTACAAAGACCCCCCTCTCCCCCAAGTGAGATTTAGAAAGATTTAGCTTGATCCCCTCCCCCCCTTGAACACCTCACGTAATTAATGGACGCCCCCAAAGGATAATTGATGAATGTCATCAAATCACCCCACAGATGCTTTAAAATGTCCGAGAGCGTTTTGAATAAAACTTCTATTATTGCATGGAGGCCCAGGGTCAGCATTTCCAGCATTAACTCTAATAAGCTTTTACAGAAAATAAAAATCGTTAAAAGATCATGGCTAGGAAGACAGTAGCGATTTTAAACTCAGGGGTTAAAATCTATGTAAAAATATCTTCAAAATAAACTATCATTTGACCCCTCTTTCCATTTAAGATTTTAGGGGCAAGTTTCACCCCCGCTAGAGGGTTTCCGTTCATGGGATGAAACTAGCAAAAAAAATGTTTCCTCCTAACTCTAAAATTGACGGGTCCGAGCGTTGTTTCGTAAAGGAATTGGGTAGCGACAAAATTGGCTTTTTGTTTTCAAAGGCCACCCTGTATATATACAATACTCCATTATATGTGTATTAATGGGCAGACCGGAGTAGAGTCCCGTTTATACCTGCTATAATGACGGTCCAAAATTTAGATGGTTGAGTAGAGTCCAGGGTCAGATTAAGTCATTAAAGGATTAACTACCTATATTTTGAATTTGAATATTTAGTATTATCTATTATTAATATTTCAATAACTATTTATTAATTGTTTATGATCATGACAATTACAAGTTGATTGTTCCCTTTCTACATGCCCAAAAACATGCATAAAATAAAAATATTCAATTAGATCTTTTGTTTATTACAGTTTTAGTTTAGTTTACTAACCGACAAGATTAAATCATGAGTGCATTAAAGTTTATACTTAGCGAGAAAGGAAAGGAGCTTCTAGTGTTAGATAGATATAAATATCGTTTTCACAAAGAACTATCTGGTGGTATTAAACGTTGGGTGTGTTCTGTAAGTGGAAATAAAAAGTGTACGGCCTATTTGAAGACAGAGGGAAAAACAAACATAATAGAAGTTGTCGACAACCATAACCACCCACCACTTGATGAAAAAATTCTTAATAGGAATGAAGTGAGCAATTCCCTAAAAAGAAAAGCCTCAGAAGATTTAAGTGAGAGACCTTTAAAATTAATTCACCGAGAACTAAGGAAAGGAGGTGTCGAAACATTGACTAATTGCGATGGCAAATGTATTAGAAACAACATATAGAACTCTCGAAGGAGCTTTGTACCAAAACTTCCAACTTATCAACAAGAAGTTCACAATGTTCTCAATTCCTATCCTGTTATGACAAATCGGGGCGAAACTTTTCTTCTGGTAAACGACACAGAAAACAATATAATTATGTTCTCATCAAAAAAGAATTTAGAGTTCTTGTGCACTTTGAAATCCATATATGTGGATGGGACATTCAATTGCTGCATGCACCAAATTTTTCCTTCAAATGTTCTCCATTCACGGATTAGCAGGTGACCATTATGTACCTCTAGTCTTTTTCATACTTCCAAATAAGCAAAAGAAAAGTTATATGTTGGCATTAATGTATGCAATAGAAGAATGTCAAAAGATTGGGACCAACGACTGTAGTGGCAGATTTTGAAGAGGCAATCCACCAAAGTGTGCTAGAAACTTGGGCGAAGACAAGTATTGTTGGATGTAGATTTCATTTGGGCCAATAATGGTAAGTTATTGATAAATATTTCAAGGACTAGGGTTAGTTCAATAATGTTTTGCTAGGTTTTGTATCTCTAATACTTATTGATTTTAAGGAAATTAAATTTTAAAAATAGAATGTCCTTATAATTTAGTATTAGAGATTTAAAATATTATTAGGAAAAAAGTTTAATAAAATTTGGTTGTCCAAAACTTATAGACGTAATTTTTCTTTAAAAAAATATATATATTTCAATGCTGTCAGTTTACTAAATGCAACATGCACTTTTTAGGTGGCGAAAAATACAACAAATTGGCCTTACTACTGCATACAAGGATAAGGATTCAGAAGTTGGAAAATTTTTGAGAAACTGTTTTGGTTTGCCGTTTCTTAATTCAATAGATGTTGGAGACTGTTTTGCTATTGATTTAATTTCTTCTCAACCCAGCAATTCCAAACTTACATCATTCGCAGATTATGTTGTAGATACTTACATAACAGAATCGTCCAAATTTCCACCATACATATGGGCTGAAAATACAAGTAGTGTTAAGAGAACTACAAATGCCTGCGAAAGTTTTCATTCACGGTTTAATTCTGCATTTTACCATGCACATCCTCATATTTTTCAATTTATTTCGGTTTTAATAGATTTTCAAAGTGATACCTACATAAAGATAAGGACAGCGCAACAAAATGAAAAGAAAATATACTCTGCAAAAACTATAGAAAACAAACAATTTTTAGATGACAAGATATGGCAATTAAAAAATCATGATATAACAAACTTGGAATTTATTAAGGTAGTTGGAAATCGATTTAAAATGTAGAAAACCTAATTTTGTAGTTTATGTAAATATAAAATATTTATAGCACTGTGAATGATTAATAAATACATTTTTTTATCAATCTGGTTTACTTTATTACCATGTTCCCTAAAAAATAAACTAAAAAAAATAAAATAATTCAGGTACCTGAGATAATGAGCTTCGGACTCTACTCAGCCATCTCCGGGACTCTACTCGGACATCATTCAAAGGGACCTAGAGAAGTCGGTAAAATTTCCTGTCAATCATACCTATTTCTATTTATACAAAAAAATGCAGATATAATGTCGGAAGTTTAATACAACTTGGCATCAATGGTTTATACGCTTCGACCTGACTTTCGTTAGCGGAAACTGGTAGCATTTAGAAAAAATAGTTTTAAGTAAAATACTTTATTAAACAGTAATTGAACGTGGTTGGTTTCTAAGATATGTAACGGTTCTCAGTTGTGATTTGGTCACTTTTCAACTCCCGCCTTAATCCATCTTAAAAATTTTAGCTGTATACATGAATCAGGTAAAGAAATAAAATACTGCACTGAACTTAATAATTTACTTTAGAACAAAATAACGCATTTATATTGTTTTATAGCCAGCTAAAAAATTTCACTGTAATAAGCCATTAATTAACAAAACATTTTAAATATCGAACGATCTCAATTTCTTTTTATTTTTCTTCTTGTTAGTAGTTTCATCATCTGAATCATTTAGTATTCTTCTGGTATCATTGATACCTGTTACTTCTCCAACCCCTTGTACCACAAACGAGTCTTTTGAGATCACCAGTGTTTGAGGATGAAGAGGTTTTACCTAAAATGTTTTAATTATTAATCAAATATACAGTCTGTAAAAGGTCTTTACAAAAACATACCACATATTCCTTAGACCAAAATAATTCGATTTAGGTAAAATTACCTCAGTACAAAGTTGCTTCATTTGGGCTCCAGAGGGCCTTGAAGTTACAATTTTTAAATCGTTTTTCCCATATAAATTTAAAACGGCATATGCGATTTTGCTGAAATTTAATATATTGGTAGTTTTATGTGGCAAAAAAAATGTTATTAAAATGTTGTCCGATAATAATACATAGGCGTAGAACTTGATTTTTTAAATAATTGCACCTTTAAAAATTCTACGACAATGGAAGAAAAGGAGTTTGAGTATGAAATTTAGATTGCGCAACTCATTTACTTTAAAAAAGGTACTCTTGATGAGACTCGATTACTCTCATGGTTTTGACGAAATTTGCATTTTAGTAATTTTAGAACATAAACAATAATTATTAAAATACAAACTTTGTCAAAACCATGAGAGTAAATCGAGTGTTATCAAGGGTACTTTTTTGTAGTAAATGAGTACCCAATCCAAATTTCATACTCAAACCCCTTTTTTGCCATTGGCGTAGAATTTTTAAAGGTGCAATTATTTAAAAAATTAAGTTCTACGCCTATGTATTATAATCGGACAAAATTTTATATGATGAAAAACATAAAAATGTACTTTTTTCATATCTTCTTCAACACCTCTAATCGAGACTTTTAACAAAAATACTCGATTCTTGCCATGTACGATTTTTTGAGGAATATTAATTATTTGCCTGCAATACGTATACAAAAACATTTATTGTTGGTTTCCATAGTTTCATCTAAATAAAAATATTGTCAAGTTTTAACACCTAATCTCTTGTTAACGATTGAAAGTGTTCTATAATTAAAAAAACAAATGCGTGGTTTATTAATATGGCTGTACAATATACCAATGCAGAATATACCGATATGTTACTGACATTAGGATTTTGTGAAGGAAATGCTCGAGAGAGTGTCAGGGTGTACTCTGAAAGGTTTCCAAATCGTCGTGTACCTAGCCACCCAACTTTTGCTGCTGTTGAGAGACGTCTTCGGGAGACCGGTTCGTTTGCTCCCAACACTGCTGATAATGGAAGAGAACGTTTTGTAAGGATTCCTGAAGTTGAAGAAGACATTTTAGAACGTATTGAAGAAGATCCAGAATTAAGCACCAGACGAATTGGAAGGGAACTAGGAGTAAGTAAAGATGTCGTTCATAAAGTTCTTAGAGAACAATTGCTATATCCATACCATAAGAAGCCAGTACAAGAATTATTAGTCCATGATCCTCAAATTCGTTTAGGTTTTTGTCAATTTGTTAATATGCAAAGCGAAAGAGATCCAAACTTTGTCAAGAAGGTTCTCTTTACCGATAAAGCGGGTTTTACAAGAAGAGGTATAACTAATACCCATAATGAACATGTTTATGCCGTTGAAAATCCGCATGCAATAAAGGTAAACCATATTCAGCACGAATTCAAAATTAATGTGCGGGCTGGAATAATTGGTAATTTCATTGTTGGTCCTGTCATACTTCCACGAAGATTAACTGGAGAAAATTATTTGGATTTTCTACAAAATACGTTGCCAGAATTGTTAGAAGATTTACCTCTCCAACTTCGGAGAGATATGTGGTTTATGCAAGATGGAGCTCCACCACATTTTTCTTTAAACGTTAGAAACCACTTGAATGAACAATATCCACACAAATGGATAGGCAGAGGTAATGACGCACCTGTAAACTGGCCACCACGTTCCCCAGACCTAATACCGATGGATTACTTTTTATGGAGACATCTGAAATCCACAGTTTACAGGGAACCTGTAGAAAATGAGGAACAACTCTGGCAACGTATTCAAGATGCAATAAACAATCTTAGAGGTGATGAAGAAGTTATGGAAAGGATACATTTTAATTTTCTTCGACGTATAAATCTTTGTATGCATGAAAATGGTGAACATTTTGAACAATTTTTGTAAAATCTCTATTTTGATTATGTTGTAAATAAATATTTTTGTGAAACCTATACACTCTAAATTATTAAAACAGAAATTTAGCGAAAACCATAAGAGTAATCGAGTCTTATCAAGAGTACCTTTTTTAAAGTAAATGAGTTGCGCAATCTAAATTTCATACTCAAACTCCTTTTCTTCCATTGGCGTAGAATTTTTAAAGGTGCAATTATTTAAAAAATCAATTTTTACGCCTATGTATTATTATCGGACAAAATTTTAATACCATTTTTTTTTCACATAAAACTGTACCAATATACCAAATTTCAGCAAAATCGCATGCCGATTTAAATTTATATGGGAAAACGATTTAAAAATTGTAACTTCAAGGCCCTTTGGAGCCCAAACGAAGCAACTTTGTACTAAGGTAATTTTACTTAAATCGACTTATTTTGGTCTAAGGAATATGTGGTATGTTTTTGTAAAGACCTTTTTTCTTCATCAATATTCGTGGACATACAAAATTATTATTTTTATTCATAGATGGTAAATTATGTAAATTTTTAAAGAAACAACAAAATGTTATCACTAGTAATACCACTAGAGGTCAAATTATTTCCGATTTCCTGATATTAATTTGACCTCGCGTGGTATTTGGTAAGAAAATTCCACGCCGAATTATGGTTGAAAATTAAATATTTTTAAAATTTATTTTTCGTTTCTCAACAATGCAAATTATTTTCTCCAAGTCACCAGTGAAACATAAAAGGTGTTATCGCCTTGATTGTTGAGTTGTCATGGTAACTAAGTGAGACCCTAACCTCGAATATAATTTCAGTTTTGAAGTTGTCAAGCGGCCCGACGTAAAAAAATGTTTCGCTGCAATTATTTAGGCCTTCAAATTGCTTATTTCTACTCATTGTAGTTGCATGGGAATACCATTTGAAAATAGAAAATAGTATATTCTTTAATTTTACGTAAGTTTTGAATAACTACAAGTGGTAGAAAATTGTTTTTCTGCGTTTTTATTAACATGCGTTATGAGCGCTTTAAAATGGTATGAAATTCATAACCAGCGTCAGCAAGCATCAATCGTAGGAGGCTGTGATCATTGTATTTTGACAGTTCAAAACATTAAATAACTCGCGTTTTATTGCGATAAAGAATATTGCACAGCATGTAAAATTAACAAAATTACCTATTTGTTTAAAAATGAATCGATTTGAAAATCATACGCTATGCAAAATATGCGTGAAATTGTCTGATGTAATGATCAATCATTGCACCATGACTTACTTACTCGGATTAATAGAGGATTGTGGCTCCAACTTGAAAAACGAAAATTTGTTCCGAATTGTCCACGAATATTTGCACCTAAACTACGCAAAATTCAAAGTGCTGAATGGGAAAAAGGTGAATAAATTAGTGTCTAAATATTATATATATTTTATTAGACATAGACACATAATTCAAAGCATCCAAAGTCCTGCATTTTCGCCATTAAGAAGAAAAGAAGTGGCCGAAGAATATAGAAAACACCTTAGCATTGTAACTAAAATGTATCAAAACTAAACCTATTATGTGAACAAATAAAAACCAGTCTGTCAAAAATGGTCTGTTATTGTAAACGTCAAAAAATTTCCAGTATAATTCGCTGTTGGGTACCCCACGAGAAAAAAATTTCCACTAAAATACCTCCGTTGCCATGGTGATCTGTCAAAAACACGTATTTTGATTGGTTCAAAATTACAGGTGTGGAATTTTCAATAAAATTCTCATCTCTTGTGGTTATTACCTTTGAAAATATAATTTTTTGATTAAAAATTAAAAAAATATATTTTTTAATAAATTTTTATTAAGTGCAGTTATTAAAAAAATAGAATTGTATACCTTTTTAAACCTCTTAAAATTTTTTCCATTTGACGGAGCATAATCTGTTTCGTCCCTAGAGCATCTAGATCTGATAGCAAGTTGCGACATGATCTCGACGATTAATTTATTTTTAAATGAATCTATAAGTTTTTTACGAGCTTCATTCATATCATCATAAATCTTTTCCTCCATTTCATAGTCGACATTAACTGGTGAATTTTTAGAAATCCAGTTACCATTTAAATTACTACTAGTTGATTTTGTGTAGTTTACAGTCTGATTTACTGTTCTTTCGTTAATTTGTGTACTGCTAAATATGTTGGATGTATTCTGCGCAAAAGGATTATCTGCCGATATTCCTGTACCACTGCTTTGCATATGTGTAGAATCGTATGTTTCATTAATAGTTTTTTCAGTTCTACGTTGCTTAAACATATTTTGGATGTTTGAATCGAATTCTTTTGGTGAATCAGCTTTTCTTTTATGTGATTGCGAAACCTAAAACATTTTTCTTGTATCATTATTACTACCTGGGAAGTACCTACGTAAAAGAAAAGAGTGCACAAAGAAGAAAGAAGAGAGGCGGAACTCAAACAAGATGAGAAATGCAAGAAAGAAAAAAAGCGCACAGGAAATATACGCACAGAAAAAAGCGCACAGACATATAAACGCACAGGAAATAAGCGCACGTGGAAAAATGCGCACACGGAAAAAACCGCACACGGAAAAAACCGCACGGGTATAAAAGCGCACATGGCAAAAAACGCAAAGTACATGTAGTTTATATCTCGTTAAGAATGGGATACAGATCAACTGAAGATTATCTAAATAAAAATAAAAAAATTAAGTTCTATAAATACATAGTCAAAAATTATATCGGTGTGAAAAGTAACCACCAAATATGCGGACTTATACCACAGATATTATGTACACAGAACAACAAATGCATGGGAATGGCATTCTGATTTTAATCCAACTTCTATAATTCTCAACCGAGTTTATACCATTTTGTACATATTTTATTAAATTGTCAAGCTCAATTATATGTTAAAATTAACCCAACAAACTGTTTACAAAAAATTTAAAAAGTACCACAATAAAAAAAATAATTTTAAACAATTTAAAATTTTAGATAATAGGAACAATATTTTATCTAAATGTTTTTGTAAAAGTTATGCATTTTCAGTATTTATCATTCTTATGAATATCTAAAATCTTACAAATATTTTTATTCCTAAAAATATTTCTTAGCATTTTAATCCCTTTGAAGCGCGATTATGCCGTAATTGAATGGGTACTTATAGCAGGTACCAGCCTTGTGACGGAAGTGATCGCCCCGAGATTGTTAAATTATTTTTTAATAATCGATTATTTGCAAGTGGTCATTTATTTTTACTAGGGATTATAAAATTTAGATAGGTACTTATTATTTCATTTATTCGGCGTTGTGACATTATTATATTTCTTGGAATTTATTATTTGCAGAATTAAGGCAGGTAAGTAAAGGCGCCTATAAATAGACTACGGAATTTAAAGTTAATTTATTGTGCTCTAATTCTTGAACAAGTTAAGTTGAATTTTTGTAATAAACGAAATGGAGTTTTCGTCTAGTCAAAAAGGCAAGCGAGTTCTTGTTTACAATAATAATAATAATTTATTCATTAAAATAGTACATATAAAACACATTTGATACAGAAAAAAAGAGAAATGAATAAATTGGCTCACGTTAAGTGACTTAACACTTGTTACGCAATTTTGACTTTTGAGTAGATATACTGTAATAAATAACATACATAATATACATATAAAAATACTAATACTAATAATAAATACTAAAAAAAAAAAAAAAATAAGGAAAGAGAAATGAATCATACCATCGAATTGTCTGATATAAATATTACTTGATAAATTATAATACGAAAACATCAATCCAATAGTGAGTACTTTTTAGGTTTTATTTTCAATTAGATCTGAAATATATTTTCTTGGGGTATTGAAAGCAAATATTTTTAAATATTTCTTGAACAAATGGAAAGTAACCTTGGATTGCACTTCCTCTGGTAAGTGATTATACATCTTAGGCCCTAGATATGAAAAAGAACTTTGAGTTAAAGATCTTTCCACCAAGGGTACAACATGGTTTAATCTATTCCGGGTTAGGTAAGTATGAGATGGTATTGTAGCTGTGAGTCTAGTAGGGTAATATTTTAGATTGGTGGAAACAAAGTACATTTGTCTTATATCTAATATTTTGCTTTCTTCGTAAAGTATATCTGATGAGTATCTAAAATTTTTATTCATTATTAATTTCAAAAATCTGCGTTGTATTATTTCTATGTTATTAATGTGACTATGCAGAGCACTACCCCATGCTACAATACCATAACGTATATGACTTTGTACAAGAGAATAGTATAAAGTTCGAAGTTGTTCTAGGGGTAAATGTTTTTTTAAAAATTTAAATTTATAGAGAATAATTTGTAGCTTTTTAACTGTATAATTTATGTGACAATCCCATTTTAAATTTCTATCAATATACACGCCAAGATACTTATATTCTTTTTCGGATAAAATATTATACACTTTTCCATTGCTAGTGATCTTTAAACTTTGAAATTCTGGTAGTCCACCTTCATTGCAACTGATGGGTAAGTATTTTGTTTTTTCTATATTTAGCGTCAGTAATTTTGAGTCTAAGAATTGTTTAATAGAAGCGAAATCATTTTCAGCAACTGTTTTTAGAGTATTCCAGTCTTGTCCCTCATAAAATATTACTGTGTCATCAGCAAATCCAATTATTTCACCGCGGCTTTGTATTGAAAAGAGTCCGTTTATATATGAATTAAAGAGTATAGGCCCAAGAACAGTACCCTGAGGAACACCATACTCTAGTATTTCAGAGTTACTCGTTTTATTAGCAACTCTAACAATCTGCCTTCTATTTGTGAGATAGCTTTTAAACATTTTTTGGGTGTTTCCTCTTATTCCCATATCTTTAAGAGACTGTAAGAGTAGCTCATGACTTACAGTATCAAAAGCTTTTGTAAGATCCATAAATACACACATACATTGTCTACCTTTATCTAGAGCTTTGTATATTTTTTCTACTAACGCTAGGATGGCATCTTCTGTTGAAGTATTTTCTCTAAAAAAATACTGTTTTGGAGACAATATTTTGTACTTAGACATATATGAAGTGAGTCTAATTTTTATTATCTTTTCAAAGATCTTAGATATATGAGTTGTCAAAGATACTGGTCGGTAGTTATTAACTAAAGTTTTATCGCCTTTTTTGTAGATCGGTGTTACAATTGTTTCTTTTAAAGTATCAGGAAATACACCTTTTTCAATGGTTTTGAATATATACATTTTCGCATAACAAATGGGATAGATACATGGAGGTGCCGTGAAAATCGACAAACTAAGTGCCATTCCTTAATAAAAACGAAGGACAAGGACATTGTACAAGATCCAGGCAGTCATTTCCTGTGCGCTTATATGTCTGTGCGCATATTTCCTGTGCATGATTCATGTCCCCAAAAAGCAGAAGCAAATATCGCCAGAAGCCAAATGCGAGAAGCCATGACAGCGGTGAATGCTACATCTCGCAATGTTATTGGAGATAAATTATCAGTAGTAAGCAATGATGCACTTGCTTATATTCCAAAACAATCGTCTCTTGCCAGAACACTTCGAAATTATCGAGCAGAGAAGCACTTGCCAAATCCATCTACGATGCATTTTGCAATTCCTGACAAATACTCGGACTTAGTGCTGCATGACTCTGGAGTCAAAGATCCAAACAGAATTTTAATTTTGGGAGATCGCGAGTTATTGTGCGAATTAAACCAAGCCGCTCTATTCGGCGACGGAACATTTGATAAAGCACCAACGATGTTTTATCAACTTTATACTTTGCATGCCAAAGTAGGAAATTCGTATCCACCATGTGTGTACATATTGTTACAAACTAAGAATGAAGCAACATACCTACCGATGTTTCAAATTGTAAAAGGGTTAGTTCCAAGCATGGCGCCCCAGAAGATACTTCTAGATTTCTAGAAAGCCTGCATGAATGCTGCAGGGCGAACTTTTTCAGAAGCCGAAATTAAGGGATGTTATTTATATTTGTGTCAAAGCCTTATAAGAAAAGTTAATGCAGTTGGTTTAAAATCGGAATTCGAATCGAACATCGACACAAAATTAAAACTAAAATCTTTGGCAGCATTATCGTTTGTGCCGTTAGAAGATGTACGAGATAATTTTAATAATTCTTATTTATTGGATTTGGACAATAAACCAAACCAAATTCATAATTTAAATAATACAGAGCTAATTTAATATAAAAATCACTCTTTGAACATTTAAAAAATATTAATGATATGTAAACATAGCATTATCCACATTTATTTCCTAACCTCTAATAACTTGTTATTTATTTAAAATTTTACTTGTCATGTCAAATTGACCTTTCGTTATTTATATTTTTTATTTTTTAAAGTATCGTAGTTATTGTTTGTGTATGATATTATTTTGTAATTGACTTCAGCTTGTCCATTTTACTTTGTATTTTTACTAAACTGAATAATACCACCAAAATGAACAACCTTAATTAAGATGTAAGTGATGAAAAAAAAATTTTTTTTACCTTACTTTATCATAATATGTGGTATTATTTTATTTTAGTCTCCCTGATGATGGAAATAAACATTTCCGAAAGCTTGGACTAAACTTAAAAAAGTACTCTTTCATTTGCTGCATTACCCACTAATTACTGGTTTAATTATCTATCTCTATATACAGTATGGTTCAAATGAAAGGAATAAATTCATTATAATGGAAGTAGCTGGTTTTTCGAAAAAATGCTCGGACAGGTCAATTTTGTTTACTCAAAGCGCAATTTTTTAAATAGAATTCAATTTTCCTCCACTTCCCATTTTTGGGCAGTGACGTCATTGACAATTTTTTTAAATGGTAACCTCAATTTTTTTTTCTTGATTTTGATAGATCTTGCAATTTCCTACTCGGAAACATAATATTTGAAATATCTTACATAACAATTTTTTTGAATAGAAGACATTTAAAGATCAGACGCATAAATTTTATTTTATTTTGAGAACACAATAAATGAATAAAAGATAATTATTTGTAATTAAATGCTTAATCTAACAAAATAATAATAAAAATAATAATAATAATAAAAAGAATTTGTGAAATTGTCATTAAATTCTTTTTATTATTATTATTATTATTATTTTTTTAGATTAAGCACTTAATTACAAATAATTATCTTTTATTAATTTATTGTGTTTCAAAATAACATAAAATTTATGTATCTGATCTTTAAATTAATTTTTTTCAAAAAAAATTGTTATGTCAGATATTTCAAATATTATGTTTCCGAGTAGGAAATTGCAAGATCTATCAAATTCAAGAAAAAAAAATTGGGGTTGCTATTTAAAAAAATTGTCAATGACGTCACTACCCAAAAATGGGAA